TTCAGCCCCCGGGAGCCGCAGCGCCCGCCTGTGTACGTGCCCGTGCCCAAAGTAAGTCCGGGTCGGAACCGCTTTCAGACAGGAGTGCGCCTCGCCCCGTGTGGTGTCTGACGTGGGCGGATGGGGTGCATCTCGGGGGACGTTTCCTTGCTGGGCGCGCCGGGGAGGGAGAGATGCTAACTTACCAAGATCACTGAATTACTGTACTTTTTTTATTAGTTTTTTAGAGAGAGGGAGAGGGAGGGAGAGAGAGAAACATCAATGAGGAGAGAGAATCATGGATCGGCTGCCTCCTGCACGCCCACCCTGGGGATGGAGCCCGCACCCCGGGCATGCGCCCTGACCGGGAATCGAACCCTGAGCTCCCGGTTCCGGGGCCGGGCATGAGCACCGAATTATTAAGGATGAGTTCTCACACCTGACTTCAAACTTTTCCAAGGAAACCAGCAAGAAACGGCAACGGGAGGAGGAGGAGGAGGAGGAGGAAGAAAGCCCGTCCCTAATTGGAAGCCCACGTTTGCAAGAAGCTGCCAAAAAAGTGAAAGCGAAGAAAAAGAAGCAGCTTTCTGATGCGGAGAAAAAGTTGGCAGACAGGTTGGTAAAATTCTTAGTTGAGTGAGGACTTGAGATGTAAAGAAACTGAGGTTATTGCATCTGCATTATCCATCTTAATTTTTTCTCATTTCCTAAATATATATATACTAGAGGCCCGATGCACGAAATTCATGCAAGGGGCTCCCTCCCACCCCCCATCGCCACCGGGATAGGGGACCTCTGTTTGGGCCCCAGCCTGCAGCAGCTTGGTCCAGAAGGACGTCCAGTCTAATTAGCATATTACACTTTTATTATTATAGATATTTTTATATTTGTATTATGGAAAACCTCATTTATATGCAAAACTTGAAAAGATAAGGAGCCCATGTACCGAACGGCAGCTGTGGTGGTAGTACTACTGGGCCAATCTTATTGCATCTTTATTTCAGCTTGGGCCTCTCCTTATGGGAGAATAACAGTGATCAGCATTTACTGAGGACTGGCTGTGGGAGAGACTGCCTTTTCCTTCAGAGGCCGGTCTTGTTTCTTTTTCTTTTTCTTCTTTTTTTTATAATATATTTTGATTGATATCAGAGAGGAAGGGAGAGGGAGAGAGAGAGAGAGAAACATCAATGGTGAATCATGGATCAGCTGTCTCCTGCATGCTCCCTACTGGAGATTGAGCCTGCAACTCAGGCATATGCCCTTGACGGGAATCGAACCCGGGACCCCAGGCTGTTGCTCTGTCCACTGAGCCACACCGGCCAGGGCTCTCTTGTTCCTTTTTTGTGTCTACACCATTTTATCATGAACTTTGCTTATCTCTTCAGAGATTTGACTTCTAAGAGGCCTTGAATAGTTTCTATCTTTGCATTAGCAGAGGTGAGAACTGAGTAGGAACCCAGGAAATAGTGAGTGAATGAATGAATGAATGACTCCTACTCCCCATTCTCCCCTCACTCCTTAAGATACCCCATCAGTTTTCTTACTGGACTGATGGATGTTCAGACCTCACTTTATCCATTTGCCCCAAGACTTTATATTGTATTTGCTGTTTCAGAATTTACATTCAACAAGCAGTCCTTTAAATATACAGAACTCATAAAAGTAGGAAGTCTGGTTTTTCCTATTGGCCAGATTGCTTTTACGGCATTATTTTGCAGATGTATTGACCTCCATAGACCCCTAGGGGGTGCTGCAGTACCCCTAGAGTTCCAGGGCAGATAACGGGGTTGGGCATTGGGAGAGAGTCAGCGAAATCTCCACGGGCTTTAAATGAACCCACTTTTGTTTAAATGAACTTCTGTTCCTGCTGTTACCTGGCAGTCCTAACATATCTTCAAAAATGGTGCTTTTTCTGACTGTTGAATTTTCTAAAGATGCTCGTCACTTTGATAATGCTACTTTTAAAATGTAGGTATGTTTGTGAATGGTATGTTTAAATTTAGGAAAGTCAGAAGTAGGTGGGGAGTATTTTTAAACACTGTGCTTTGTCAAATACTAGACCTGACTCTCATGACTTTATTTCTTCTTCCTTTTCTTGCCTTAAAAAGAGAGAATGCTCTAGCAAGTGCTGATTTAGAAGAAGAAATTCACCAGAAACAAGGGCAGAAAAGGAAAATTTCTCAATCTGGTGTTCAAGTAGCAGATAGAAAAACACTTGGTGATGAAGATGACACAGCTGTCAGTCAAAGGAAGAAAACACAAATGAACCCAGAAGAAGAGAGGTTAAAGAACGAGAGGACTGTGTTTGTGGGGAATCTGCCTGTCACATGCAATAAGAAGGTGAGTGTGCGGTCTGTAGGTGGTACGGACTCAGAGAGGGGAATAATTTATAACTGTGTGTAATGCTCCTCTGTGGAGTGGGCACACAACAAGAAGTCATGGGTTTCTGACTCCATCATACATGACTACATAAGTCATTTTGTCGATTGCTTCCAGTATCCACCCCTCCTTTTTGTTCCCATAGTCCAGTGGTTCTCAACCTTCTGGCCCTTTAAATACAGTTCCTCATGTGGTAACCCAACCATAACATTATTTTCGTTGCTACTTCATCACTGTCATGTTGCTACTGTTATGAATCGTCATGGAAATATCTGATGTGCAGGATGGTCTTAGGCAACCCCTGTGAAAGGGTCGTTCGACCGCCAAAGGGGT